GGACAAGGCCTCTCCCATGTCTCGTTCTTGGAGTGCCACTGAACAAAGGCCTACTGCAACATCTTCACTTAGTCCCCAGTCTTCTGTCCATGTCTCTAAAACACATTCCATTATAACTACCACCCTACAGACCTTCTTATCCTCTCTGTCCTGTACTTAGCTATATTCCTGAGGGGTCTCATGAAGCAGGGCTACCAAAGCATATCACTAGCCTGAATCTTTCCCAGAAGATATAGAAAGTAATAAATTTGCTATTCTTTCAACATAAATGAGGAAGAAAACACTTTTTTAAAAAAGCAATAAATTTACAATAACTGCTGAGACAGAAACATATAAATGAGCCACGACACTATGCATGATACTGTCCAAATGCTGTGACAAAGGAGAAGTTAGAAAACAAACTAGGGTAATATTTTAATTAGATAAATCAACTGTTTAAAAGAAAGGCTAAAGATAAAAGTAAAATCATAAAAGATGACTGCGTAATAAGCATTTAAAATACTTGGTCCTGTTACTAATTTTAAAAATAAAAATCTAAGCAAGACACAAGTTTTCTTCCAAAAATCCCCAAGATTTGTTTTTAATAGCACCGAATAAAGGCAAAAAGTAACGAGATATAACAGGCATTCTCTCATTTTGCTTGTGAAATTTAAACTGGCACTAAAATAATTGGGCAACATGCTATCAAGAGTCTAAAACATTCTTACTACTTGATCCAATAATTCTACTCATATGACTTCATAAAAAATAAAATAAAACATGAACAAACACTCAAACCTTATTTCAAAATGAATGTAATAAAGAGATAAAATGCAATACTCCACTTGCTTGGATGACCAGTTTTGCTAAAATAAAGCAAAAAATTGAAGAAAAAAAACAAGCCACCTTGCCTGCCACTAGTCAGGCCACACTGAAGCTTCATTAACTAGCTCTACCCCTCACAACCTTCTGACTTAACCAAGACAGACTGCAGTACAATCCTTCAAGACAGAAAAAAAGCACAGATATGTTTAAGTTTTCACATGACCGAAAATAAAGAAGAGTTTCCCAAGACAGAAAGAAAAGCAATCTTAGAGATTAACTGTGAAATGTCATTTCCCAATCTATTTATTTATTTATTTATTTATTCATTTATTTATTTATATTTTTTTGAGACAGAGTTTCGCTCTTGTTACCCAGGGTGGAGTGCAATGGCGCAATCTAGGCTCACCGCAACCTCCGCCTCCTGGGTTCAGGCAATTCTCCTGCCTCAGCCTCCCGAGTAGCTGGGATTACAGGCACGTGCCACCATGCCCAGCTAATTTTTTGTATTTTTAGTAGAGACAGGGTTTCACCATGTTGACCAGGATGGTCTCGATCTCTCGACCTCGTGATCCACCCGCCTCAGCCTCCCAAAGTGCTGGGATTACAGGCTTGAGCGACCGCGCCTGGCCTCCCAATTTATTTTATAAAGAAATTCAAATATCTCAGTAAATAACTTCATTAGGCAGTAAGAATTATAACACAGCAAAGTTAGCAAAAATTTGTTAGTCATATGTATCAATTTTTAAAACCATAAAATTTCTCAAATTTTGTAAGCAATTGATGGGCATTAAATAAAAAGCTTAAAAAATGTGTATCAAACTCCCTGTGCCACTTTAGAAATAAACATAAAAGGTTTATTTCTTAGAAAAGCAGTTTAAAAGCTACATTAAATAGAAAACAAGTCCCTTTATAAAAGTATGAAAAGTATCGAAACACAAAATCAGGATCAATAAATAAGATTTGTGTCTGTTCCCATTCACACAGAAGCAATCTGAGTTTTCACATCATAAGAATGCTTGAAGTTCTAGCCAGAGCAACTAAGCACAACAAGAAATAAAAGGCATACAAACAGAAAAGAAAGAAATAAAATGATCTCTGGTCACAGATGGTAGGCTTTTATATACAGTAAACCTTAAAGATTCCACACACAAAAAACTGTTAGAATAATTGAATTCAGTAAAGTAGCAGAATACAAAGTCAACATACAAAAATCAATTGCATTTTTATAAACTAATAAGAAGATGAAAAGGAAATTATGAAAACAGTTCCATTTATAATAGCATCAAAAAGAAAAAAATATTTCCAAATTAACCAAGAAAGTGAAATACCTGTACAATAATAACTACAAAACATTGCTGAAAGATATTAAAGGACATATAAATAAAATCTTAAGATATTAAAGAATGCATAAATAAATAGAAACACAGCTCATATTCATGCACTGGAAGACTTAAAATTTTTCCCCACGAGCCTATGTGGGAAAAGGAAGACTTAATATTGCTAAGATATCAATACCACCCAAAGCAATTTACAGATTTACTGCAATTCCTCTCAAAATCCCAATTTGTTTTCCAGAAATAGAAAAATCCATTCTGAAATTCACGTGGAATCTCAAGATTGAAGAGCCAAAACAATTCTGCAAAATAGTTAAGAGCTAAAGAATTCACGGTTTCTGATTACAAGGCATATTACATAGCAACAGCAATCAAAACTGTGGTACTGGCATAGAGACAGACATCCAGACCAATGGAATAAATCAACGGTCCACAACGTTTCTGGCACCAGGACTAGTTTCATGGAAGACAATTTCTCCATAGTCCAGGGGAATGGTTTACAGATGAAATTGGGCCGGGCGCAGTGGTTCACGCCTGTAATCCCAGCACTTTGGGAGGCCGAGGCAGGTGGATCACGAGGTCAAGAGATCGAGACCATCCTGGTCAACATGGTGAAACCCTGTCTATACTAAAAATACAAAAAATTAGCTGGGCATGGTGGCGTGTGCCTGTAATCCCAGCTACTAGGGAGGCTGAGACAGGAGAATTGCCTGAACACAGGAGGCAGAGGTTGTGGTGAGCCAAGATTGTGCTGTTGCACTCCAGCCTGGGTACCAAGAGCAAAACTCCATCTCAAAAAAAAAAAAAGAAAGAAACTGCTCCACCTCAGATCAGCCATTAGATTCTCATAAAGATCTTGCAACCTAGATCCCTTACATGCACAGTTCACAACAGGGTTCCTGCTCCTATAAGAATCTAACGCTATTGCTGACCTGAGAGAAGGTGGAGCTCAGGCTGTAATGCTTGCTTGCCAGCTGCTCACCTCCTGCTGTATGGCCTGGTTTCTAACAGGCTGTGGACGGGTGCCAGTCCATGGCCCAAGGGTTGGGAACCTTGGAACAGAGAACCTGAAAATAAAACCTCACATACATGGTCAAATGATTTTTGACAAGGGTGCTAAGATCCTTCAATGAGGGAAAGAACAGTCTTCAACAAATAGTGGGGAAAAACAGATATCCACAAAGAAAACAAAGTTGGACACTCACCTAATGCCATATATAAAAATTACCTCAAAATTGATCAAGCTTAAATGTAAGACCTAAAACTATAAAACTCTTTGAAGAAAACAAAGGGCAAAATCTTCACAGCATGAAATTTAGCAATGATTTCTTGGACATGACACCAAAGGCACAGGCAACAGTAACAAAAAATAGACAAACTGGACTTTCATGAAAAAATTTTAAGTTGTACAACAAAAGACACGATCAAGAGTAAAAAGGCCAATCCACAGAATGGGAGAAAATATTTGCAAATCATGTATCTAATAAGGGATTATATCCAGAATATATAGAGAACTTCTAAAGCTCAACAACAATAAAACAAGCCAATTCAAAAGTGGGCAAGAGACTTGGCTATACATTTCTTGAAAGATACACAAATGGCCAAAAAAGCATATGAAAATGTACATCACCACCATCACTACAGAAATGCAAATCAAAGCTACAATAAGATACCACCTAACACCTATTAGAATGGCCACTATTAGGGAAAAAAAAAGGAAAATAAAAGTGTTGATAAGGATGTGGAGAAACTGGAACCCTTGTGCACTGTTAATGGGAATGCAAAATGGCGCAGCTGCCATGGAAAACAGTACAGTGAAGCCTCAAAATATTAAAAATAGAATGACTATGTGATCCAGCAATTTCATTTGTGAGTATACAGCCAGAATAATTGAAAAGCGGGGTCTCAAAGAGATACCTGTATACCCATGACCACAGCAGCATTATTCACAATAGCTAAAACGTGGAAGCAACCCAAGTGTCCATCAATAGATACGCAAAATATACTATACTATACCACATAAATATGGAAGTAAAATCAGAAGAAACAGCTAAAATAATTAAGATTGTTGCCTCTTGACAGTGAGATGGAGGGCTGGGTAGTGAAGTGAGCAAAAGATTACTATTTTTCTTTAAAAATTTATACTACTGTATTATTTAGGCTTAAAAAGAAAGGAAATTCTGACAAACTACAGCATGGAAGAACCTTGATGACAATATGTTTTGTGAAATAAACCAGTCACAAGAAGACATATAACGTATGATTCCAATGATATGAGGTACTTGGAATAGTTAAAATCATAGACAGTGGAAGTAGCATGGTGGCTGCCAGGGCTAAGGGGAGGGGAGGAAAGGAAAGCTATTGTTTAATAGATAAAGAGTTCTGGAGATGGATGGCAGTGATGGCGGCACAACAATACCAATGTATTTAATACCACTCAACTGTGTACCTTAAAATGATCAAGATGATAGATTTCATATTATATGTATTTTACCACAGTAAAAGAATTGGAAAAGAACACTCAAATTATATGAAATAAAAAAATTTTTTTTTAATTTTTATTTTTAGTAAAGATGGGGTTTCTCCATGTTGGTCAGGCTGGTCTCAAACTCCCAACCTCAGGTGATCCACCCACCTCAGCCTCCCAAAGTGCTGGAATTATGGGCATGAGCCACGGCACCAGGCCGAAATAAATGTTCTTAGATTTCAGTCATGGTTGCCAAATTTTTATCTATACATTAAAACATTCAGCACTGATGTCTCAATTTTACTACATTAACAGCAAATCATGTATCAATAGTCGAAGGCCTCTCGTTTCATTTACTCTCTTGTTCAGAAGAAACTAAATTCTCTAACACTTACCTAAACTCGTGGGCTTGATGAGAACATCAAGGACATCATAAAAGGGCAGATTTTTTAACTGCACATCAGGATGGACAGGAGGAATTGGGGGAGATGGCTGCTGCATCTCAAATGTGGGCTTAGTATCTTGAAGCAGCACAGAACCAACAGGAGAGGATGGTGAGTGAGGTGTAACTGAAGTGGAAGGCAACGAGTGGATTCCAGCCACGGCCAAGTCAGGTTCTACAGGTGATGAGCTACCATCCAAACTGAAAACCGATGATTTGATTGTGGATAAATCAGAAAGTCCTTCAAGAGTTCGTGGATATCGGCGTCTATACAATTCTCGGATTTTAATCTGAACCGCAGGGCTGCAGCCACTCTTCAATAAATGCAGCGCCCTCATCAGGAGGTCATGCTTGCGTCCACTTTTATTCCGTCCAGCAAAGCCTAGTAATACTTGTAGTTCAGAAACCCTAAAACTAGAAACCATATTCTAAAAGGAAAGAAAAAAAACAGAAGCCAAGTCACCCTTAAGCATACAAAAATCCTATCTAAAATATACTGTAAAATGTGATTTTTCCAGCATTCTATCAACTGGCATGTGCTAGTAACAGCATTTCACATACCACTTAGAGTCACTACCATTCGTAAGACAATCCCGTAAAATTACATTCAAGTTATGCTGTTAATTATATTTTGTTGCATGAGATCTTAATTTTGGTAATCTATAGTCTATTGGTTTCTACTACCACTTCCTTATCTGATTATGCTCTAATATACACAGATTGCTTTATGACTATAAAATCTATCACCAATGAAAACATTCCTTTTCAAAACCAACCCCTCCCAATACGCAACTTAATGTTTGTTACAGAATTATCACCAGTTAACCAAACAAATTAGATTTTCACAGTGTTTGATGTGCAAATTTTGATGCTGAGTAGTCAATCTATTAAAAAAAATCTAGACAGCACTGTGATCTAAAATGCAATAAATGTTTTGTCCCAACTCAAACATTAAGGAACAGACAACATAATAAAAGATATTTTAAAATATTAAAGCTAAAAAGCACATACATCTGATTTAGCAGTCAGTCAAATTTCTAAAATGACTCAAATTCCCAGCTGGGTATCCAAATGGGAAAAACACCTTTGAAGAGCAAGGAAATGAGCAGTCATCAATCTTAAAGGGCAACATTTCCTCCACACTACTCTACTGACTTGTGCTTGGGTGTAAAACAAAGGTTATAAGCAGTTCCAGCTTCACATTGCATCTTCTATTTTTTTTTTTTTTTTTCAGCAAAACTTGGTATTTTTAACCCCTTGCAGCCTCAGGAATCCACCAACTTAGTGATTTCCAGTCACTGAACTCAGAGGCAAATCACCCTTGGGTCAGATGCCACACATGCAAGAAAGAGGAGGAAGATCTGAAGCTGAGCAAAGCCCTGTCCATCCTGTCCCCATCACTCCCCTAACCCAGATCGTGCTACACACTCAACAGTTACTTGGGATTCCTTTTCAACCTGTTCTTCTCAACAGTATAGTGGCAATGTGAGGCAGTTGCTCTGTACTTTTAAGTCTCAGGGATGGCCCAGAAGCAATTGTTTAAGACCCTGTATGGCTTTTAAATACATGCTAGTTTACTAAAATGCAAAAATAGATTTAAATATACCAAAGTAATCCATGTACACTGTACCATAACTGTACTTTGTGTTCTATATATGTCTCCATATTTCATATTGTACAAGTCAGAAAATATTAAATTGTAATCCTGGCAAGCATTTTATACTCTAATTCACTGCTGTCCAACACAAATGTAATAGCAGTCATATTAAAAGAATTAATTTAGGCCAGGAATGGTGGCTCACACTTGTAATTCCAGTGCTTTTGAAGCCCAACACAGGAGGATCACTTGGGCCCAGGGGTTCAAAACCAGACTAGACAACATAGTAAGATCCCTTCTCTACAAAACTTTAAAAATTAGCTAGCCATAGTGGTGCATGTGCCTGTGGTCCCAGCCTCTCAGGAGACTGAGGCGAAAGGATCACTTGAGCCCAGGAATTTGAGGCTACAGTGAACTGTGATCACAACACTGTACTCTAGCCCTGGGCAACATCAAGACTGTCTCGAAAATAATAATAATAAATTAATAAAGTTATTTAACCCAATATATCAAAAGTATCATTTCATCTCAACATGTAATTTTTGTAATTTAAAAATAATCATTTTTTAAAATATCAGTGGGGTATTTTTTCATATTACGTCTTTAATATCTGGTAAATATTTTTTACTTATGATACATCTCAATTTGGACTAACCACACTTCAAGTGCTTAAGACCCACATGTGGCCACTAGCTACCACATTGGGCAGTGCAGCTCTAAATCATTAATAACACACATACCACAATGCCATAGTCACTGTATTTCAACTTGCTTTATTTCCTCCACATGCAAGATGAAGATTTTATTCATCTTTGTTGTCTTACCTTTACAGTGCAGACAACAAAGATAGAAAACAAGAAAATTTTTGGCCTCTCTCACAACAAACCAGTTACAGCTTACTCAACATCTCATGCATTAAATGGAAGACAATAGCTTCTTAGGAAGGGTTTACCCATGTAAGAAATAACGATGCATCTTTCCCAAAGTCCTCAATCTTATTAAACACTTCAACTGATTGCAGAACTCTAACACTAAAAAAGGCAATCACACCAATACAACATAACTATGATTTTTTCAGACTAACTCAGAATTCATTACTTTGCTTCACTCCTTATACTTATTGTCAGATATTCTTCATTCTAAGGGAACTTGTTTTACAGAAATGACAAAATACAAAGTCACCCTACCTAAGCTTGACTCTCAAAGGAATTTCTAGAGGTCTCATTATCTCATATTTCCAGTGATAACGTTATTTGGCGAAGGATGTTAAAGCAACTGGCTGTTGTACATAGACAAATAAAAAGTAAGAAAGAGATAAGGGCTTAGATTATGAATATCACAGAATTCTGAACAGCCGATAGGACAGTCTTTGCATTACAAAATGCTACAAAGATCAAGTACTGCTGGACACACAGCCAAAGGTAATGAAGTCAATAGGGCCCCGTGAAAAACTTCAGGCCAGCAATCAGCAGCAGTTGTTGTTCAAGCCCAAGCACCAAGACTTCGGACCCTGGGAAAGTCATTTCATCCCTACGCTCATCAATTTCTATTTTAGAATGATAACAAACACCCCAAAAAAGTTAGCACTTACTGATAAAATAATCTCAAAGCAGCTTACTAAGTAAAATTTTATGAATACTTTTGTTGTTGTTTTTTGCAAATCTTACTAGATCCCACTTCCTCTTAAAGTAATACCTACTTTTTTTTTTTTTTTTGAGAGGGAGTTTCGCTCTTGTTGCCCAGGCTGGTATGCAACGGTGCAAAGTCGACTCACAGCAACCTCCGCCTCCCAGGTTCAAGTGATTCTCCTGCCTCAGTCTCCCGAGTAGCTGGGATTACAGGCATGTGCCACCATGCACGGCTAATTTTGTATTTTCAGTAGAGCCAGGTTTTTTCCATGTTGGTCAGGCTGATTGAGATCACCTCAGGTGATCCGGCCACCTCGACCTCCCAAAGTGCTGGGATTACAGGAGTGAGCCACCGTGCCTGGCTTTATTTTTTAACTTAGTCTTCCATCAAGTTTCAGGTCCTTCCCCCAGTGAGTGGGTATGGTGAATAGGGAGGGTCACCAGAACCCTCATGGGGGGATAAGGTTAGCATGCTATGAACACTACCAAGACTAGATTTCAGTTGTTTTTCTCCACCAAACTCTGACATCGGTATCTTTACTCTAATGTTTTTCAAGCAGTTTTTCCACTCCACCGTGCTGCCTTCCAGAGGCTCCCTAGTCTGCCCACTTCAGTTAAAACTGCTATGTGCTCTACAGAGGAATTTCCCTACAGAGAAATGTGTTGGCCTAATTTTGTAAAAAGATACATAATCTAATTTCCAAACAAAAACTAACATAAATTAAGAAAAGAGTTTTAAATCAACTTTGTTCCTTTAACAAAGGTAAATAAACACAAAAGTATTAAAACTTTTAAAGCTGGAACATTATGTAAGTGAAACACTACATACAAAGATGAAGGCAAGCTGAAGGTGCTACATTCAGAAACTACCTCATTAGGCCAGGAGCAGTGACTCACACGTGTAACCCCAGCACTTCAGGAGGCCGAGGCGGGTGGATCACTTGTGGTCTAGAGTTTGAGACCAGCCTGACAAACATGGTGAAACCCGTCTCTACTAAAATCACAAAAAATTAGCCAGGCATGCTGGCAAATATCTGTAATCCCAGCTACTCAAGAGGCTAAGGCAGGAGAATCACTTGAAACCAGGAGGCAGAGGTTGCAGTGAGCCAAGACCGTGCCATTGCCTTCCAGCCTGGGCAACAACAGGAAAACTCCACCTTGGGTGGAAAAAAAAACCTCATCAAACAGGTATATATGATAGTAACATGTAATCACCAGTGAATAAAAATATTTCCCTGAGATAGCTCTTCAATTCTGAAACATGAGACAGAAACTGCCAAAATAGCCTGGAATTTGGGGAAGTGCTAATACGGTTAGAAATCATGGTAAAGGTCAGTACAAACTCTGTAGATTCCCCATCTGCTATAATGTATATCATACAGGAGGAGACGAGAAGCTGCTGAGGGCAACTAGCAAATTGCATTATTAATATTGCCTATTCCAGCTACAATATTAAAATAATCCACATCAGGCCAGGCGAGGTGGCTCACACTTGTAATCCCAGTACTTTGGGGAGTTGAGGCGGGCAGATCACCTGAGGTCAGGAGTTCAAGAACAGCCTGGTCAACATGACAAAACCCCATCTCTACTAAAAATACAAAGATTAGCTGGGACTACAGGCCCAGCTACTAGGGAGGAGGCAGGAGAATTGCTTGAACCTGGGAGGTGGAGGTTGGAGTTAACGGAGATAGTGCCACTGCACTCCAGCCTGGGCCACAGAGCTGAGATTCGGTCTCAAATAATAATCATCATCATTTATATGTAGGCATAAAGAAAAACCACCAGATTAATATAATCTCTCAAAAAAGAATGACCAAGCTAATGCCATACATAAGAGGAACTACGTGGCAAGCCAGAAAGATACTCCAATTCCTAACTACTTCCTCTTTTCAAAGGTCATTGGAGGCCCCAGTTCCTGGTCCTGTATTCCTAGTGAAATCATGTAATCCCTAAAAGAGACTAATGGATTTCATCCTTACAACATAATGATTACAATAACTCCTATGCTAAAGAAATCAAATTGAAAACCAACTATTAAAAGAAACAATAAAGAAAATGCTACATTTCAAAATCAGGGTGAAACATCTCCCTAAATGCTTCTATTATTATACAATAAGGATTTAAAATAAAGTAGTCAAGAAAGAAAAAAGTAACACCAAATTAAAGGGAAAGGGCTGGGGAGAGTTACAAGCTGAAAGCAAAA